AAATTCTATTTTCATCCCCACAGATTTTTCGGCATTTAACGATGATACTCCGAAGCAAGACTTTCATTAAAAAATATCAAAGAACAATCACAAGTGAGTTGAATTTGTTCGATTTCCACTACCTTCAAGTGCTTTTTTTGATTTTCGTAAACGTCAACGGCTGGTAGACGAGACGGATTAACTTCGAATCTGTCTAATCTGTCTACTAGACTAATACAAACATCGTGCATACAATATATTGGTATGCTGACGGCGGGTTTATCTCCTGAGTCAGCCAACTCCAATAACAATCATTATAACATCGTCATCGGACATTTTTGGATTTAAGGTTGTTAACTCTTTAAGTTTCATTCGAAGCCCTGGGAAACATTCCAAAGACCCAGTTTCTATCCACACTTTTAATACCTTTCTTCGACGATATGCTGGCTGACAATGGGATTATGGGGGTTCTTTGAGCTGGGGTAGGGAAGTGAATAATTGGTAGAATGTATGACCTTTTCATTTTCTATACTTATTAAAGGCACAACGCATGGTTGGATCCTTCACCTCTTGAAAGGTGATAGATTTCAAGAATCAAGATTAGATATTCTCTTGTACATCCCAATTAGACAGTATAAATAAGTCCGACCGAGTAAAAGGCAGTAACTATATAACGCAATTTTAACGACAAGATCTTCCATGTCTTTTGCCGTACCTGAGTATCTAGTTACAGTTTTTTTGGGTAAATCGCCACTCATTTTCCTCTTTGGCCCTCGTCTGCATTCCAATCCAATCACGTATTACTCTCGTATTTATATTTTTCCGTATCGGATTTCCCTATTGGTCTTGATAAAATGTGCTAACTAGGCAGGTTAATTCCGAGCACCAGAGGCACACCACAACAGGCACAATGGTCTAGATTTTGACACAAACAAGCACTTGGGGATTTCAAGCACATCCTTCTAGTTTCCTACAACCTTATCTTATTTTGGAAAAGTACTCCATAAATAAAGTGGCTATTTGTTGGATAGAAGCCAATGGCAATCAACACGAAAACCAGGAACCATTCTAAGCCATACATAGCAAGGAACACTAAGCCCTTAGATGATTAGTGTTATGTTTTCAAGACTCATTACCCTCATTACCAGCAATTTTCATTCAACCCTTGTCAACTGATCGTTTGATTGGATATCAATCCTCGTTAAGCGAGTAAATTCAATCCACTATATCGTCTCGGATTTGGAACTTGGCGTACTTGGCGATCTTCTTCTCACTGGTCTAAGCAGCTTCCCTCAAACAAGTCTCTCCTGGAAAATACCCCCAAACCTCAATTTTTACTCACTGTACACCCAAAATACCAAGGAAAATCATTTCTTTACGACCCATTCACTCATTTTATACTTCACACTTCACATTTCATACCTCACACCTCATACCTATCAACTTCAATCAATAATAACACATCACATCATTTCGATCATCATTGGATATTAACGCGAAGAACGACTACGACAATTGATATTTATACCCTTTCGATCCCCTTCTGGAACCCTTTTGATGAATAAACGACCGATTATATACAACTTCACTTACTGCGAGAGGGAAAATCCCATTTAGAGTTGTACTTGCGGACTTTTGATTGAGGCGTGTTGTGTGTGTGTGTGTGTCGTGAGAGTGTTGAACACTCGGGAGTGCGGACATCCGTGGTCATATAGGCGCTCACTCGATCGTAAAAAATGGGCGAATCTAATCATCCTTCACACATCGAACATAATAGAAGGGAGTCTCAAAGGTCGACGCGATTATCGATGCAAATGCAGGACGAAGATGAAGAAGATTATGCTTTGGCGGCCATGGGGATGTCGAATGGTGGTGGTTACAGACCCTCGGACTCACATCAACATACTTACACTCCACCACCACCACCACAACAAGAGCCAATACAGGAACACCAACCTCAGTCCCCATTATCACCCATAGAAAGACGAAGAGCATCAACACCACCGCCACGACCTTCGAGTACAACAAAACCGAGAGGAATCGATTCGTTCGCATTACGAAATGATGGTGGGAATGGTCAAATGTCGAGGGGTCCAACATTCGCGTACTCGGGGGAGAATGGAAGTGGAAGCGGTTATGGATTAACAAGGACATCTACTGCAACAAGTATATCGAGCATATCGAGCGAATCAATTATGATGAGACCGGAAAGTCCGTATAGAGGACCTACAGGACCATCGCACCCATATAATATGTATAATCAAGACTCACGATTAGCGAGAACAGCGAGTATAGCGACGACTTCAACAATGCCGGCACCACCACAGGAAATGTCGTACACGGGACCAAGCGGACCAACACATCCTTATGGCATGTATCCGCAGAGTACAGTTTCAAGTGATTCCGACCAGTTGCCGATTGCACCCATTCCTGTTGGTTTCCCAGGTCTGAATAATGATTATCAACGAAGATTAGGTCCGGAAGGTGAGGAGGCCGCGGATCTTATCGGGCCTGATGGGCACACGGAACAACTACCACCTTATACCAAATATCCGGATGAGGCTTTTGCTAGAAAATTACGACCTACATCTGTACCAACACCCGTACCTGTACCTACCATTCAATTGCCAGCTCCCATTGTTCCTATATCTGGTGCTGGTGGTATGGGACTAGCGACTCGAAATCCCGAATTTGCCTCTAATGAAGATCTTCGTTCATCTCAATCACGCCAGTCATCAAGGAGTATAATGTCAGATGGAAGTTCACATCAAAGCAATCACGCCGATATGGAATATTCCGAAAAGCCTCCACTGAAGAAATGGCAAGTTGTTGCCAAAAGAAAATTATGTGGTATCGTTCCTGTATGGGTTGTTGTTTTGATAGTCTTGGTCTTCGTTCTCTTTGGAATTGTACTTGGAACCGTTTTTACTATTTTGAGGCCGAAACATGGTGATGATCCTAATAATAATAACAGCAAGCAACATCACGGTGACCAGTTAGTTTTCATCATCCAGTACCTAAGACCAGGATACTAACTGCTTACAGATCAAGCCAAAAAACAGTATATGCAACCATGACCACCACATTCGATGCAACACCTCTGTCTACTGTACCTGCTTCGCTTCCATCGCTTCCGACCGGAACGTACAATATGCCTCTCACTGTTCCTTCAACTGCTCAGAGTAGTTGTATCATGAACACCGCCGAAAACTCAGCTTGGAGTTGCTCCATAGCAATGACACCACTAGAAATGTCTATTATAGACATTCCGGGTGGTGACGAACTCGCCAACAAGGAAATATCCATGAATTATGGCAACGCTTCCTTTAATTTCTATCCATACGGCGCTCAACCCCCGATTTTGTCGTCTGCTCAGGTGCTATCTCTCGTCAATGATTCGGAATATCCTAGTCGAGGTCCAGCCTGGTTTTTCCAAGTGCCATACAACAAGGTAGTTGTATTGCCGCAGAAGTCTCTCTCAACAAACATGAAGCGTCAACAACCTGCCTCGGGTTTCATGAATCGTAAAGGAGTAGCTCAAGCTGGAGATCAACCTTGGTTTTGTTACTGGAATGGAACCTTATTAGAGGCATTCATTTATGTCAATGAAACTAGTAGCGCGGGTTCCTCCACGGTCACTTCTGGTGGTTCGTCTCCAACTAAAACCGGTAATGCATATGGTACGAGCACTTACTCATCAGATGTACCTTCGTCTACCAATGGAGTTCAATCACAGCAGTCTTCTTCATCTGGGTCTTCTCAAAATGGCCCTCAATTCTTACCTCAATATCCCAAAGTTTACAAAATCGCCGAACGCCGCATCCCTCGAGGTGGTCAAACTGTTCCAGCTTACTGTGTAGCTCATCAGATCTTATCAAATGGCAATGCTGAACCATTAATGAATTCAACTGGTCAGCCTATTACCATTTATTTAAATGAGACGGAACCCACAAGTATCTCGCCATTGTCGTCTCGAAGTCTTGTCTCAGACTTCTTCAAACGAGATTTGGTTGAACGAGACGGGGATGAGAGTTGTGGTTGTGTGTGGCTGGAATCTTAAACTTTGATTTCACTTGGACGCGAGACGAGACTTGATCTACAATAATTTTTTGGGCGTACTTTATGAGGATTGGCGGGATTTTTGGGCTTTTGAAATGGGAAGGATATCTATTGTATATTGGACTCGGTTGGGAACATGGCGTTTGGAACATGGGATGGATATGCATAGCAAGAGCAAGCCTACTTGATCTTTTGCAGTATTGTTATTCGGAGCAATGGAATTTTGGGTATGTAGGATTTGGGTTTGGGGTTTTAGGTTATATTATATGTCGTGGCTATTTCTTTCTATATCATATCTTTCTGAACATGTCAAAATGGAGAGGATGGGGTATTCTATAAGGAATGGTTTATGAAAGAGGAGGATGTATGGCTGGATGGATGAATATCAAGATTTGAATAGAGATGGGGTTTATGAAGAGTAGAATAGGGAAAGAGAGAGCGAATGGGGCTGTGAAAGGGGAATATGGATGACACCTTTTTTGATAGCAATTAGCAATGTGAAATGGTAATTGATTGATCTGAATGATTTGTAATGTAAGGGTGTCATGGAGGGACCTTCGAGTGTATTAAAATTTGAGACAAACAACTTTCGTGAATGTTATTAAGTTGTCCTAGGCTGGTTGGTATCTTGATATCTAGGTATCTCTAGTCTAAGCGCCGTCTCTCTATCTCTTCTTCTTCTTCATCTGCAATCATTTCTCCCTGGCCCTCAAATTCCAGAACGTACCGCATTTATACGGAGCATTTATTTGCATGCTTTGAGGGCGTTATAGTGTTCGTTTAGTACCTGTCTTATTCATTAGTTTATGGACGTTAGCTGGCGGGTCTACACACTTATTTCTTCTTCTCATTCATTGTGCTAAGAAAATCACACTTCTTTGTCAATATTATACATCAGAAAGCATTCATTGCGAGATAAAGCAGCTTAGTTTACCACTCAATTCATATATACTACAACGAATTCATGAGCGCCCAAATCTATTCCCATACCAATAATCCAACCCCCCTAACATATCATCTGCACTATCCCGCTCAAAGATATTGAGAAGCGAAGAGATCTCCCCCACGATCCCCGTGGCAGCAGCCGTCCCCGAAGTGGCCGGTGCACTAGTAATGCTCGAGACATCTGTAGTGGCAATACTGCTTACACTTTCCTTCGTCGTACCACTTGCAAGACTACTCTGGGCACTCGAAGCGCTAGATGACCCCAAACCGCTCTGCGCGCTCGAGGCACTACTCCCCGTAGCAGAAGCCATCGTAGTCATCCCGCTCGTTCTCGTCGACGCCGCGCTGTACACACTCACTGGCTTGAGTATCCCGCCGCGCCCGCTTTGTAAAACGCAGCATTTCCGGCCTCGGCGCTCAAGATGGGATCTCCGTAGCCGGTTGGGATGACGATTTTGCTGATGGATGCGGAGGAGGAGATGGTGGATGTGGCGGTTGTGGCGCTGAGGGAACAGCCGATGGTTCGGATGGCCGTGGAGGAGATGGTGGAGAGTTTGGTTACGGATCCGAGGGTGTTGGTGGCGGGGGAGACGAAGTAGGTTATGTCGGTTACGGTGTTGGAGACGGGAGCAGGAATGGAACTGCTGGAGGAGGAGATGAGGGAGGAAGAAGTTATGGTTCCACTTCCTGAGATCGAGCTTGAGCTAATTCCTGATGATATGGTTCCACTGGAGGTGATGGAGTTAGTTCCTGATGATAAGGGTCCCGTGCTGGTGAGAGATCCACTGGTGATGGAACCGGTTCCAGATGAAAGAGATCCACTAGCCGAAGTTGAACCAGTTCCAGATGCTAAGGAGCCAGTCCCTGTTGGTGCTGATCCAGTACTGGTGAGAGATCCGATTGTTTTTGAATCTATCCCAGAAGAAATAGATCCACTAGCCAAAGTAGAGCCAGTCCCAGCTGCCAAGAAGCCAGTGCTAGTAATGGATCCGGAGACTCCGCTAACACTAGTCAATGAACCAGATGCAGAAGACGATAATTGAGCAGACGTAGGCTTACAGAAGGAGAACTTTTACTGGATACCAAAGAGCTAGAGGTCTTTGAGCTGGAGAGCGAAGAAACAGTGGAAGATGAGACTTGAGATGTCTGAATTGAAGTCACCGAAGTAGGAATTGAGCTGATGCTTAAAATTGAGGATTTGGAGGTAGTACTCGTACTACTGGGTGCCACGACCGAAGTCGAAGTTGAGCTCGTCAAAGTAGAAGTAGGTTTGGTGGATGTGGATGACGTAGTTGGAATCGAAGTTGTCTTAACGGAAGTGGTGGTAGGTGTCTCGGTGGTTTTCACCGGGGTAGTCGTAGGTGTAGTTACCACGGCCGTAGTCTTTTGCGTTGTTGCTGGAGCCGTGGTTTTCTGGGTTGTCGGTGCAGCTTCTGTTGTTTTAGCAGTGGTTTGGGCAGTGGTTTTTGCCGTTGTTTTGGCCGTTGTTTTTTTCGCGGCTCTTGCAAAGAATTTGAACAACCCTACATTTTCAAGATTCCCTTCCGAAGGTGGAGGGGTCTCTAAGATAATTGCAGATGTCGCTGTAGCTAGGACATCAACAACAGCATCTGCTTGAACTCCTGGATATGCTTGAACGGCAGAGACCAAGAGCACAGAAGCAATGAGAGAATGAGAAGAAAAGTACATTTTTAAATGAAAGAATGGAAGAAACAAAAGGACTGTAAGGACTGTAATAACAGAAAAGACTGTATAAAATGTTCAAGCAAAGTTTGAATTGAAGATTCCAAGTTGAGGTACTACATCTTATATTATAGAGGTAACATTCGGGAACACTGATCAACATCGTGGATAATCGTCACAATCATGTTATCGGTAGTACAAAGGATCAGGATCGTATCTATTATTGTTATCATTTGGTTTCAATCATGAGATAAATGATTAGGGGTCAGAAACGAAATGAAAACATAAGCAGATTTCCACAATATAAGCGTAGCTGTTGATTATGTCAGGCGAGTCGTGAGTATTGTGGATGATATGCTGATGAACTGCGCCTCAAGCGATTTAACCTTAAGATCCTACAGTATGACAAACATAAGGCTTCTCTCGGCATTTTATGTTGTACTTCTAGAAGAAGGATGAAATAGGATCAAATTGTAGCCATGTGGTAATGCCTTGGCATAGGCTTTTTTTGGGTTGTGGGGAAATTGTACAGTGATTAAAACGAGCCATACAGATATAGCATATTGTGATACGACGCCTTTCACATCGTTGAATGCTGTATATATTCTCTTCTACCAAATAATTGAAGAAGATAAAATCCATCAAAACACTCATTTTTCTTATTTTTGCTTTCGTAGCAATTGTCTGTCCTTACCTTGAAGTATTGAAATTCGTCTAACATTTTCATTTCTCTTTTCTCATTCATATTTTCCACCTCTCCCAAAGAGCCTCCGAACAACAAAATGCAGCTCCTACCATATCTTTTAACTGCAGGCCTAATTGGCCAGGCCATGGCCGTGAGCATGAGCAGTCGCTTCACTGTTTCATCTACTTGCTCAACTTCTAAGGTAGATGACATGTTGACTGAAACGATCGATATGGTAGATACTGCTATTCAAGGGATTGATACGCTTCTCAATGCTGGAGTTAAACTCAATCCAAATGTTGCATCCGCTGCCATAAAGTCTCTTACGAAGGCTGCCACCACTGCTTGGGGAGTTACGTGTGAGGATTCATAATAAGTCCACTAAATCACTTATTAATATCTTACTAAATAAGAGATATCTTGATGACTAATACACATATAATATGATCTTATATTATAAAATCATATTATCATATAGTTGTATAATAGTATCTCTTATCAAATTGATTTATAATGGAATAGAATGAAATGGAACTAGATGGAAGTATACAGGAAATATCGCTAAATTGATTGGTTGTACTTTCTTTTTATTATCTAAAATGATTCTATAAGATACGATTTAAATCGATCTTATTTATAAGCATAGAATATACTAGAATTTCATTATAAACTATATAAACCTAGAATATTCTTTAAAGAAAATCTAGGAAAAAGCAAGCAATTCATCTCAACTCAGCCTAGCTCTTCTAAATTGACTTCAATTCAACTCTTATTCTATATATTCGATTTATCCCTCAAGCTTAAACTGACTAGATCTTCCACTATCATTATAATAATACTATTCCTTATTATTATAAAAGCTAACCTCCAAGATTACGGAACCTAAATGGTGGTCATATTCATTAAGTGCAGCTGATACAGCTCAACTAAAAGCCGCTCAAGGTATGTACCAAAGCACAGGCTAAATCAGCAACTAAAACACCGAATCTAATAAGAATATAGCAAACTATCAAAAGCTTTACTCAGCCTTAAATTCCGGAACTGGAATGACCGCAACCGAGAACACATTATTCTGTGATGATTCAACATTAAAATGGACTACTGTATGCTTGACCATCACTTGGAGGGATACTCAATCTAACAATGTCCATAGAAAGCCATTGATATTTTCCCTGACGGAGGTGCCATGACCACCGAACAGTACTGTGAGTATTAGATGAACTGTATCATACAGCACTAGCTAATGAAGCATCGCAGTTAAGGCACAAGGTTACACCGATACCAGTGTTGTCAAAGGATTATGGAAAGATCCTGACCACAAACGTGGCAAGAACTTCAATTTCATCATTGACGAATATAACGGAGGTCAAATGTGTGGAACAAAATCTGCCGAAGCCATCACATACTGGCAAACCGGAAACATGTTCATGTGCCCCAACGCATTCAAAACTGCAAACTACAAAACTAGCTTGAAAAGCATGAGGACTTCGACAGCTCAAGTCGAATGGAATGATGTTCGATCACTTCCTGGAACATTCTTGCACGAAATGATGCATTTCCTCGATTTGAAACCACATGGTAAGTCTTTCCTTGTTCTGGGAGTTAGTTGGGATCCTGCTAACAAGAAGAAATAGTTGTCGATCAAAAAGTTACTGGTGATACTGGCGGACAAGTCGCAGCTTATGGTCTGATTGCAGTCTGGATGCTGGGTGGTAAAGCCGGAGAAGAAACTGTGGACAGATCAAAGGCTTTGACGAACGCTGACTCTTACAATGTCTTCGCAACGATGGCATATCTCCAGTCGGCAGAATTTATTGGCTAGACAGAAGGATTGAGAAGAAGAATGGGAGAACGTGTAGATAGAAGGAAATCGTTCAGTATTCATCAGTTTTTCGGTCCTGTTCTGCTCAGGACGTTCTTCTTGCTCTGCTGTGAGGGCGGTGGTACGATCAAACATGTAGGTTAGATGATGCGCGTGTCTCGTTCGAACAGAAACCCATAGAGCACCAGCGTGTGCACTACTAATCTCTCGAAGTTCTTGCATGTAACTTCCACCAATTCATAACTTTTAGTATTGGATAACAATATACCACCGCTCTCAAGACATTGACACACAAGACGAGCCAACATACACTTTGAAAGTCATATTCCGGGCCTACTACCTCAACCCAAAATTATCTAGCAGAAGCAAAATAAGCATGTCTGGCAGTAATAAGAAACGCAAGTATACTCGGGCGAGAGATCCTGCCACTGGCAGATTTTGTGCCGCGCCCAAACCTCAACCCCCAGATCCAGCAACGGCCGCCAAAACAGTGTCCGAAGAACAGTATAATGTATTACTTGGAAAAACCGTATGTTCAAAGTTCCCCGACTGAATATATGTATGTATGTCGGATCTCTAACGATATGCTTCTAGCATCGTGATAAAGAAGGGTACCTGGAGGAGTTGAAACGGGAGAAGTCCAAATTTGAGCAGAAAGAAAAGGAGGTTGAAGAACTTGAACGAGAAATTGCGAGATTGACTGAAAGCAGCAGAGATATTGACAGGCAGAGGCAGGAGCTTGAAGATAAATATCTCAAAGAGTTTGAGCAGCAAAAGCAAGAAACTGAAGAGATTAAACAAGAACAAGAGAGGAGAGTAGCACATCTGCAGGAAGTGATTCGCGAACATGGTCTGGAGGAAAACTACGACATTGCATGGGACGGTGATTTCAAAGAAAAACTGAAGAAGTTTCGGGATCGACATTTGAATTATTACACCAGCGTGAAGGTGTTAATAGTTCTTTGGGCTTCGGATGATTTAGGTCTTTCTGAAGAGGTGGACAACTTGGCAAGGGTATTCGAACATTCATACAGCTTCAACGTGGTGAAATTCGCCATACCTGATCTTGATCCTGCGAACGCATTGGCGAGACGAGTTCAAGAGTTTATAGGAGTTGATTCTCCGGATACCCTTCTCATCTTTTCGTACAATGGTCACGGCAGCATCGAAAATAAAAGCTGTAACGCTATTTGGTCTGGGTAAGTTTGCGACGTGCCACCATTGCTCTCTTTAGCTAACAACATAGAAGAGGCGGTGGTTCTCGTATGCCTTCTAATGGTATCCAGACCCTCCTTGAGGAGTCTAAATCAGATACCCTTCTGTTGTACGACGCGTGCCATTCTGCAAATACTGCTATATCACTTGACCCTCCAGCAGGAAGTGTGACAGAGTTAATCGCGGCATGTGGATTTGAAGCAATTGCCCGAACGGGCGAAAACTCTTTCACGTCCGTATTCACACGGGAATTATCTTCTGCTGCAACACAAGGAGCTGTGTCGGTTTCTAGACTGTACAATCGAGTACTTGCTCGTCTGAGAAATAACCGGGACCGCAAAACAAATGCGACACCCGTTCGTTGCACGTTGGTATCCGACGACGATCGGACATCCATCATACTCGAACCGTTATTGCCACCCCCAATCATCGCGTCTCACCAGTCGTCAGAATTTTTGGATGGCGTGAATGCAGTGTACAATATTGGAATTGTAAAAAGAGGACTGAAAATGGGTGACACTTCTGTCTTTTTGAAATGGTTGTTGCGAGCCCCATCTGATGTTATCGACGTCCAACTACGCCGCATCAACATTCAGAAGCAAACCTCATCGAATGGTGGTCATGAATCTTGATATAGAGGTTTTCAACTCCAGAACCCACGATATGACACGATGCCATCAAGCTAGAGCGACAGATGGCCATCTAACTTAAATGCCAATAGTGTCAAGCTTGAGGGCCAATTTCATCGTTGCAATTGGTAGCGTGCTGACTATTCATGTATTGAAAACCCCACAAGTTTTGTCTTATTGACTCTTGGTGTCTTTGATGACATTCTATAATCGCATGCGGTATGTTCCTAATGGTTTGAGCGGTTTTCCAGAGTAATTACAAGATACATTGATTGACCTTACTGTTGTCGAGCCTCGGCTATTTTTGTCATGCGCAGTGCAGTATCGAGGATTTTGTAATTCCAAGGCCTTCCTGTTGCATCTCTCTTTAGACACGAAAAGTATGATAAACTGAATACCATCAATATAATCAAATTATTTACCAATATTCAAAAGTACTTGTCAAAGAGTCCTGGGTTTCACGCGATTGATATATTTACGCTTCTTCTCTGCCGTTACAGCACAACCTAAACCTAGGCTCTCACAACAACAAAAGTCACGAAATCATTAACCATGGCGGATAGCACACGACCAGACCGCGAACACGGTCGGAGAAGAGATTCACGTTCCAGATCACCTAGGCGACATCACTCGCATTCTCATCGGAGACGATCACCGCATGGTAATCATCATCGAAGCAAGCGACCGACCGAAGCAGCACCAGAACTCCCGTATAATTGTAGGCCGATCACGAAAAATGATTACGAGACATTCAAACCAATGTTTGCATCATATTTGGATATTCAGAAAGGCATATTTCTGGATGAGTTAGGGGAAACAGAAGTCAAAGGGAGATGGAAGAGTTTCCTTGGAAAATGGTAATCATGAATTCTGGCTTAGGCCCAAGAAAGTCTTGGAATACCGGCTAACATGTGTGAGGAATCGTGGAGAACTTTCAGAGGGTTGGTATGATCCATCAACATTGCGAAAAGCCCAAGAATCGGCAAGGGAATACGAGGAAGAAATAGCTCGAGAGTCGAATCCGGTCCAGTCAAACGAACCTTCGTCGAGTTTGAGTCAGCGCGAACCCGAACAGAAAGACCATGAAGTAGGAGGCGATGGAGATGATAGTGATGATTCGATGGGCCCAACATTGCCAGGGGAGATTAATAAATCTAGAAGGAATAGACCGGGGCCCAGTATACCAAACATGGAAGATTTAGAGCTTAGGAGAGGTATTTACACACGCCAGTTATAATTAGAAGTAGCCGCAAAGTCTAACAGTTTCGCAGAAATGGCTCTTGAAGATGGATTAGCTCGCCGCGATGACATAAGGTTCGAGCGGAAGATTGATCGCAAACAACAAAAGGAAGCGCTAGATGAACTGGTTCCTCGTGCTGAAGCCGGGACACGAGAACGACAATTGGAAAAGAAGAAAGAAGTGAACGAAAAGATGAAATCATTCAGAGAGAAATCTCCTGGTGCGGCAGAAGTTCCGGATATTGAGTTGATGGGCGGCGATGAAGGAATTGAAGGATTTAAGAAAAAGAAGGAAGAGTTCCAGCGCAAGAAGAATGAGAGGGAATTGAGGAAGGAAGAAATAATGAGAGCTAGACAAGCCGAAAGAGATGAAAGGCTACAGGAGTATAAACAAAAGGAGGATGGGACTATGGCTATGCTCAAGGCTTTGGCTAAGCAGAATTTTGGATGATCGCATTCAATATGGTTAGCAGGACATGAGCAATCATACGACTTTGGAAATCAAGTCCTTACGATTCTCTTTTAAATAAATTGTATTAATATCTGCCTTTCACAAGAATCCATGGTCAAGTTGAAGAGAAGGCTCATTCAGCCTTGTGATACACAGCCTGTGAATGCCGAGCCGGATAAAATAAATTCACACGTGACTTCCATTGCAACACAACATGACCAATTCAACCTACATCAATGCGACATATCTCCAAACAATCTATACTGGGGAGCGATAGGATATTTGACATTACAAATATATCATAGGCCAGTTAACCATCAACCGCACTCTCCTGAAATAAGTATTGCCAGGGGCGAGGCTGTCACGATGGAAATCATCAGGAAGAGGATGATGCACACTGGACAGAGGGTTAATCGTTTGCGTTGTTTGAACGAAGTCAATCGTAGTTTTGATCTATTTCGCCACTCAATAAGCACAACGACAGTTCGAACTGCGAAACAAAAACCCCAAATACCTAAAAAGCCCTCGAGATCTCAACAGCAATACAAGTAGAGCTTTCACCTGAACATCCCTTGCGAGATTTCATGCTAACCCCCCTGCAGAACTCCAAGTCCAAGACAAGTTTTGGACCCTACTCCACCCCCTCCTCCCCCTCCACCAGCAGCGAAACAACATCCACTTCAAGGTAGGAAATTTGCTTTAATAGGAAGTAGTATCGCCGCTTTGATATTTGCCGGCTACTCGTCCTATTTATTTGTTCTACTCAATAAAGAACCTACCAAATCTTCTTCTTCTAAAGTTCAAGCTGATGTCTCATCCCGCTATGACACCATTGCGTCTACGTTTGATTCGGAAGTTGACTGGACGGAATGGAGTATGGGAATCACGAAGATGCGTAAAAAATTGGCGCAAGAAGCACATGGAGATGTACTCGAAGTATCTATTGGTACAGGCAGGAATCTAGAGTATTATGACTGGGATTTCAAAGGATTCAATGGCGTTGGGAAAATTCAAAAAGTGGGTGGTATTAAGAAGGGGAAAGTTAAGAGTTTTACGGCTGTTGATAAAAGTGGTGAGATGTTGGAAGTTGCCCATGAAAAGTTCTCGACAATGTTCCCAGGAGTCTTGGGCGTGAGATGGATAATTCAAGATGCTTCCGAAAAAATACCAGGCCCCCCTCGAAATGCAAACGAAACAAGCGGGAATAAAGACGCGAAATATGATACAGTAATTCAGACTATGGGATTGTGTTCCGCTGCTGATCCGGTAGGGCTATTGAAGAATCTGGGAGAGTGCGTGAAAGAAGATGAAGGGCGGCATATTATGTTGGAGCATGGAAGAGCAAAATGGGATTGGTTAAACAGAGCGTTGGACAACAGTGCAGAAGGGCATGCAAAGCTTTTCGGATGTTGGTGGAATAGAGATTTGGGAAAAATTGTCGAAGAGAGTGGGCTTGAAGTTGTGAATATTAAAAGACGACATGGCGGAACGACCTGGAGAATTGAGTTAAAAAAGCCCAAAGCCACACCAAAAGACAGTGGCGTGAAGGTTGCGACAGAAGAGAAGATACAGGATGCAACCAAAAAGGGATGGTGGTAAATATCAATCGAGCTCGCCTTTCTTTACACTCCGCTTACTGTACCAACATATCAACGAATCACAAATATATGCGCCGGAGTTGTCGTATTATCAGAAGGCGATATCATAGTAATCGTCCGATATTCTGCAGGATTTGTCCCCATGCTGCAGTAGCTATGTCCATGCTCAGTGGCCACCAATCGCTCTTTTCTCAAATGGCCACCCTGCCCTGTCCAGTCAACACAATTGAACCAGAATGACAATCGAAGGGGGCCAGAGTTCTAGTCGAGAATGGTGAGTACGAAATTGATTTCAGAAGTCTAGATAATTGGTTCGACCTCTCCTTGCATTCCCCTCGATACTCGACATCATTCAGGACCTTGGGCTATTCACATATTTAGCAAGATCAGCAGAATGTCAATTGACGTCCTTGTCCACACGCCGCAGACGTTATGCGTTATCCCCTGCACGGCGATCCCGCTGATGACGTCCGTGAGTTCTGGAAAATTATGGTTACAATTACATGAACTCAGAATTTCCTGGATATCTGCCCGGTAATACGATTACGATTTCAATCACTACGTTGACGAGTTGGAATGCCATGCAACATTCAAGTTTCATAACCATTTGTTTACCTTATCTTCATTCGCATGATTACAACTTACAAGATGATATATTCTCATATCTAGCCATCACGTGCCAGGGGTCTAGATAGGGCGTTCCCCGGCCGGAGAGTAAGGTTACAGTACAGTGGATCTTTACTAGTCAGTTAACCCTTCACGGCCCCGTGTACCGATGTGTTAATGTGGAAACTAAAATCAGTTTAACAAAATCTTTTTACATAACAACTTCCTTGACTTGTTACAAACTGCATGTTGATCATCCAAAGGCGCTTGACTATTTCCTTCTTGTCATTCTCTTATCATTTTGCGGGGTCGATAACCTTGTACGTACGCGGTGGGTAAAGTATTACCTTCTAGGTATTACTCGTATCTCTTCAAATTAGATAGTGAGAAATATGTAGATATTTCTGTCGCTTTTCCTGTTTCTTTCTTCCTGCATATCTTCAGCTTTCCTCTTAATTTTCTCCTTCACATTCAGTAGTCATGCCTCGACATCATGATGCCGACGCTGATGCGGCTCAATTGGCTGCTCATGGCCACAAACAAGAATTGGAACGCAATTTCTCTTTGCTTTCTATGTTGGGTCTAGCATTTGCGATTCTTAATTCTTGGACTGCTCTAGCTGCGAGTTTAAGTGTAGCATTACCAAGTGGTGGACCAACTTCAGTACTCTGGGGATTGATTAGTAAGTTTATTCTCAATTTCGCATTCACTCTATGGACTTGATACTGATTATGGTTTCAACAGCCGCCGGAGTATGTAACTTATGCCTTGCCGTCTCTCTTTCCGAATTCCTATCCGCCTACCCAACCGCAGGTGGTCAATATCATTGGGTTGCAGTCATAAGCTGGAAGAAATATGTTCCCATTCTCAGTTGGATCACTGGGTGGATCAATGTTTCCGGCTGGATTGCACTCGTTGCTTCGGGTGGTCTTTTAGGCTCTCAGTTAATAGGAGGAGTTATTTCACTCATGCACCCAAATTATGAACCACAACGTTGGCATCAGTTCCTTCTCTACGTCGCATACAATATCATTGCCTTTGTTGTCAATGCATTCATGACATCGCTCTTACCTCTCATCACGAAATCGGCATTCATCTGGTCTATTGTCGGATTTGTCGTGATTTGTATTACCGTTTTGGCGACAGCTTCCCCAGATTACAACGACGCATCTTTCGTCTTCACCGACTTTATCAATAGTACAGGATGGCCCGACGGAGTTGCGTGGCTTCTTGGTTTGCTCCAAGCTGGTCTTGGATTGACTGGTTTCGATGCTGTCGCTCACATGATTGAAGAGATTCCAAACCCAGGAGTTCAGGGTCCTAAAATTATGATTGGATGTGTTTTGATTGGTGTCTTTACAGGATTCATATTCCTTATGGTCCTACTCTTTGTAGGTGGTGATGTCAACGATGTTATTGAAAGCGCTGCGGGTCCATTACTTCAAACTTTCTACCATGCAACTGGTAGCAAGGCCGGAGCTATCTGTCTCCTCATCTTCCCACTCGTCTGCCTTCTATTCGCGACCATCTCCATCGCTACAACCTCCACGCGTATGACATATGCTTTTGCTCGCGATAACGGTCTTCCTTTCTCGAGAGTCTTTTCTAGAGTCCATCCAAAGTTAGCTCTTCCACTAAATGCATTGTACCTTACAATGGCATGTGTATTCCTCTTTGGACTCATTTTCTTGGGTAGTTCATCGGCTTTCAATGCAATTGTTAGTGCCAGTGTTGTGGCTTTGGGTGTCAGTTATGCGATTCCTGTCGCAGTCAATTGTTTGAGAGGGAGAAAGTGTTTACCGGAGACGAGAGCATTCAAATTGTCGGAACCTGTGGGTTGGGCTTGCAACCTGGTGAGTTCTCTCTAATCTACTAATCATACTTGGGAGGAAACATACTAATGAGATGAGTAGGTTGGCATTGCATATGTGATGGTTACTACAGTTCTGTTCCTCTTTCCACCGGAATTGCCAGTTACAGGAAGCAATATGAGTATGTTCCCTCCCCCTATTCTCAATCTTAATTTCTACAATACTAACACATCACACAGATTACTGCGTAGTAGCTTTCTTCCTTGTCTTCGTCATCGCAGTAGTGCAATGGTACGTCGACGGCAAGCAAAACTTCACAGGTCCAAGGATCGATATGGATGCTATGCAACATGGAGAAGTTGTGGGGATAGTGGTTGGTGATGAAACTAGTGGGACTCCTAGTGCGGATTTTGGGGATGTAAAGGAAGTCAAATGAACTCGGCACTTTACGATAAAAAACACCTGTATATGCATTATAGATACATCAAGTTATAGATGTACAATATTCAGATTAAAAAATGATATTATGAATAAAAATTCAAAAACGCGAGCATGAAAGACGACAATGCTGGCTGATCTTGTGCCGTCACTCCGGATGATGTGGAATTTTTTATCAATTTCATCATTCATCAAAAGTCGAAACTCAAAGCCAAGCCGAAGATAAACGGCAGTGCCCGAGAATGGGGGTTTCCGAGCCTGGGAGTTCCAGCGCTTCAGGGCTTGGTAGGTGTAAAGATTGGGTATGTGGGGCCGGATAGATGGAGTTTGTGGGGTAATATTCGGGAAGAGAGAACCTTATGTCTTGGAGGCTTGGGGGCAAGACTACCGAGTCATGAGCCCACCAGGCCGTGGGAGGCGTGGAGCGGGAGGTGATAGGGGTGTTGGGTGAGTGTGAGGGGAAGCCCAGTCTTGCTTTGGGTATGTTGTGGAAGTTTTGAGATTTTCTGGGGAGAGTATGGAGGAAGAGACGGTTTCGTACATGGGATGGAGATTGGGAAGTGGGAAGTGACACACGATGTCTTGATATAAGAGTCGTGGGGGAGTTTTGGATGAGTTGGAGGGACGCGATTGAGGATTGGATAGTGCAGGAGTCGCGAGTGGTTCTCTTTAGGAAAGCAAGTGGACGAAGAATGATCTTGTTACGTCACTTGCCCTTGCCTGTACGTTGAGGTTGACGTGACCATTAGCCAGGTAATCGATGGTATTTTGATCTGGTCACTGATAAAAAGTGACAGCATGTTCTAAGGGGCGGTACCTTAACATCTCCACATTCTCGTTTATACCATTTACGCCATGTCAAGTATGACTAGATTGGTGAGGAATATGTAATCTTGCAAATGATTAACAAAAGTTAGATTGCCTGGTCAACAGCCTGGTCAAACTTCTACCCGGAGTCACCAATGAGGAAGAATTAGCAATGCAAACGTATTCATGCGAATCTGGACCGGTGCTCGGCTCTTTACCCAGAAATAAAGGATGCTTAAAAGTGACGATGCTTGAGATATTGTGATGAGCTTATCAGGACGTAAATGAAGCTCTGTTATTTGTGGAAATGGACCGGGTATTGGAGGACAATCAACGAATTCTTTGGAGACTACTATCTGTGATTGATGCGCCGGAGGTCAAGAATGCCTTCCATAACTCTTTGGCTGGGAATTTGCAACGAGATGTTTCGAGGTAGTATGCCCTGGGTTCTCACCGTAGCCGTCGATTCGTCGTATGTCCAGCAGAAGAATGTGGAGCGGAGGAAGCTTGCTACGAGGTACCTTCGTTTGAGATGGTGGATCCATCTAGATGTGCGGTGAATACGGGCTTGTGTTGTTGGACAAGTATCCTGTGTGTACGGGATCGTAATTAACCGGGTTGCCAATTGTAGTAATGCCACGCCTTTCGGGGGATCTAAGAATAGCAATCCTACTGGAGCCTGCGGAGTGGCTTCAGCGTGCCTTTTAGATGCTCTGGCAAATTCAAAGGCTTAGCTATGAAATGAAATGGGAGGAAGGAACATGGTAACCAAGGAATAGTAATAATAACAGCAATATGTTCACAAAAATACGATAGTTATTGGTGAATGATTGGGCTACCTGCCCTTGAAGTGCTTTGTCCAATACTTTCGAGGATTAAGCGATGCCCCCCTTCTCTCCGGCAGAAGAATAACGAGATCGTGTGACACCCGAACAAACAATGGATTGTACACTTCGAGAGGTGGGTTTTTAATATACAGCAGTATTCCAAAACATGATGACTATTGAGAGATTTAATACTTTGTCTCCAGAGCTTGTATTTGAACCTCTAGGGAAGTCAAATCTGCACTCGCAGCTACTAGCTGATCCTAGAAAGTATCAAGAGACGAAAGTCGGAGCCAAATAACAAAAGCCACATAGAAGCCCTATTAACTGATGAAGCAGTGACCAATATCGACTTTCCAAATCATGCTATTAAAGTAATGTACTAAAATCATTAAGATATACATGTGCAGCATCCGAATGTACACATGATTTGGGGAGCAGCTATCTCATCGTAGGACTCTGTTCTGTGAATCTGCTTGTGAAAATTGGATAATGTGCTTAGTATCAATCGGCTACAGTATCGAAGAGCCCATGAGGTCATTTACCAGGAATATGCGCAAGCAACGGTGCAGTGGCAGCGAGAGACGCCATTCTCGATCTAAAAACAACCTCATGAGATATATCGATATTGGTTCTGTTCAGGATTGTTCGCATTCGCGCATAAGAACAGTACATCAAAAGACAGTTTGGCTAGGAAGCTATTGCACTGGTGTTGATCAGAAAATTAGTTCCTGACATCAGATCATGATCTTGTAATGCAGCATGAGTTGTGTTCTACCTAGATTTAAATGTACGAGATTTACACCTGTAAAATTAGCGTTCGCTAGCCTAAGACAGTGAATAACAGGCTTCCTTCCTTTCCACCTCAAATATTTATACAACATTCAACCACGACAACCTCTTGATTAACAACAATCACGTTCACAATGGACGACGATGATGATTTTGGTGCAGATGCGGACTTCCTAACAGCTCTCGCACAAACCCCTGTTACAGCTCCATCTACAAACCGCGTTCAACAACCTACCCCGCAACGCGTCCAACAGCCTACTCCACAGCGTCTTGATCGAGCACCACCAACAAATAATGCCTCCGCAGGTCCCAAGGTTGTTCAACCAATTCCACAAGCTATCGCATCGCGCTCTTCTGGCTCGACAATTCAAGTATCTCTGCGGCAGAAAGGCAATCCAATACTGACAAATCTCAAATCCTTTCCATGGGAATACTCAGATATATTGGCCGATTATGTGCTTGGCACAACAACATGCGCACTCTTCCTATCACTCAAATACCACCGATTACATCCCGAATATATATACAATCGAATTAAAGGTTTGCAGGGTAAATACAATCTGCGAGTACTTCTTACAATGGTTGATATTGGAAATCATGAAGAGAGTTTAAAGGAACTATCCAAGACAAGTCTGGTGAATAATGTTACCGTCATATTATGCTGGTCCGCTCCTGAGGCTGCAAGATACCTTGAGTTATACAAGAGCTACGAACATGCAAATGCTAGTGCTATAAAAGGCGTTGAAAGTAAGAGTTATGGAGATAAAATGGTAGATTTCATTACCGTTCCAAGGAGTATCAATAAACGAGACGCTGTGGCATTGGTTGATGCATTTGGAAGTATCAGAGGTGCTATCAATGCAAGACCTGAGGAGATTGCTGTTGTTGATGGATGGGGAGAGAAAAAGGTTAGAAAGTGGTGCGGGGTTGTTGATGAACCATTTAGAGCACGAAAAGCAGCTCGTAGAGGTTTGAGCAGGAAGGAAGTAACAGACGATGGGCTGGAACGGCCAGAAGGAGTTTTAGAACGTGCTATACCTTTGAGTCGTGTTCCGCTGAGGGAAATGAGCTCCTTGGGAGGAAAATCTGTTGAATCTCTACATCGAAGCCAGAACCTCTCTGAGGAACGACAGGATGAACGGATACCAGGTGATGATGACGAAGAGGCTGCAATCTCGGCCGCTCAGCAAGAAGAAGAAAGAGCAGCTCGAGAGAAAAAGCAAGAATTGGCGAGGAGAGATGAAGAGCTCAGTGGAGGGGTCGCCGCAGCTTTAGCAAAATTACGAGAGAAACATTGAAATACTTAAAGGTTAAGATATCATGTTATCACATGCCCATCTACATTGAGAATCTCTGACCTAAAAACGGCATCACACGCTAAAATTGGACGGGAGAGTTGACCTCGGAAGGGTTTTCGCCTCGAATCACGTTATAACTGATTAGCCTACCAATTCACGATTGCATCAAATGCAAATTTGACGATTTTCATGCTTTCGATGATCTCTGTTCTATATATGCACTTAGATCTTATATATTGCTAGAGGTAGAGCAGAGACCAAATCAATCGATTTCTTTATACAAAGTCTACATTTTACGCAGCTCTCTCATGGCACTGGGACGTTTCACAGAAAAAATCTTTATACTTGCGAAAGTTCCTTTTTCTGGAACAGTTATGTGTAGCACATAATACTGACTCCTTTGGTTTGAGCATAGCGACAAACTCTGTGACCCCCAAAAGAGCAAATTTCTCCTTTCTCCATATCTTTCTCCGGGCTTGAGAGGAATAGGCTCATGTCTATCTATCTCTAGAAACTTTACGCTTCGTTTGCCGTGTGTTTCTGGCCTGAAGAGCCTTTGCGCCTTTTAGCTGGCATCTTCCTTTCTCAGCCGTCTCATCTAGGCCAAGCACTTCTCTTTCATGAATCGGAGAAGAACTTCTTGTATTGTACCAATCACTATTAAGGGCATGGTATTACAAAATGTTCATTCATCCAGCTCTCAAATTCCGGGTATAAATCTTTCCGGATACTTCGCCTCGAAGTTTAATAGAGATTTGCATATGACTTCTTCCTTGGTGGGCTTCATCGTAGTGCTAGCGAGCTAAATCTGATGGTTTCAAATTGTCATTAGTGAAAGTATCTACATTGGTTTGACCAGTCATAGGAAGACTTTGGCTAGCCGTGCAGGTTCTGTCTACATAACCTGTCCTCTCTAGGCTCCTTTACCAGCCTCTCCATGAAGTTGTATACTTCGGTACTGTATTTTTCTTGCATAAGCATTGACATTTTTCCCGTGCGTATTTTAGCCACTTATATTTGCGCTTCCAAGAATATCTCCAAAACCCAATGTTCCAGTCTCTACCACCTCTATAGCCGATTCATACAAGAATGAGGGGATACATTCACAAGCCCCTCATTCATCTGTATCTTCTCGTCAGGTTATCGAATTTTAGATCGAGCCGCGCAAATTTTGCCAATATATCTTACAAGCGGTTAGATAGTTCTTTGTCTCATTCAAAGCAGACTTGACGAGGTTGAAGATTCTTTTTGTTCGCACATATTCACTTTGAGATGGTCGTAGGCGAAATTGAACCCTTTGTTCCTATCAGGGACTATTGTTAGGTAACTTAGTAAATATCAATTGCTTAACGTCGTTGCTTTATTTCCAAACCCTCACCATATGAATTGAGCGCCTTAAACTCACCAATAGTAAACCATGTAAAAGACTTGATATGTTTTTCAACAATGACGCAAATCATGCCAACCCACGACTTCCACCCCTCCCACCACTCCCACCCGTATTTGGACGAGATGGGTTTGAAATCGAAATCCCACAGATAACACCAGGACTGGGAAGATATTGGTTTGGTTGGGGATCAAATAATAATGAGGTCGTTTCAAAGAGTATTACTACTTTACAAAATAGAAATGCAAACCTACGAAAGGAAAATGGACGATTGCGAAATCTAGACGAATTATGGAAAGGGGAGGTCAGACGACTGCGAAATCAAAGTGCCAGACCGGACAGACAGGATGAGCGACAAAACCAGATTATTGAGGAACTAGGTGGCCAGTTGGCTGAATTGAGAGGAAGAGATGAGCAAAATACGCAAGCTATTCAAGGGCTCAAGGAACAGGTAGAAAGATTGGGCGAAAAAGATCAGACGATTGATAGCCTACACATTCAAGTCTCGGAGCTAAGGAGGGAAGTTGCTTTACACGCGCAAAATATTCGAGAACTCACAGGCCAGGTAGCTAAAGCTGGCGAGAAAGATCAGACAATTGAGGAACTGCGCATTCAATTATCTGAGGTAAGGAGGGAGAACGATTCACATGCACGAACCATCCAAGGACTCAGGGATCAAGTAACCAAAGCAGGAGAGAAGAATCAGACGATTGAGGAACTACGAACTCAAATGTCTGAGGTAAGAAGGGACAAAGACTCACATACACAAACCATCCAAGAGCTCAGGGAGAAAATAGCCAAGCTACTTGACAACCCATCCATCGAGGACCTCCGTACTCAAGTAACAACTCTGTCAAAGACGATTGATCAAAAGACCAGATCATCCAAAACCTCCACAAGCAAATAACCATCTTAACCGAACAGCACAGCAAACAAGTGACGGAGCTCCGCGAACGCATCACCACCATATCGAAGGAAAACGACGAGCGCGTCAACATCATGTCGGAACTGCGCATGAAGCTCACCGAGGAGAATGAAAAAAATACGAAGCAGGAATGGACCATTTCCACCCTCCGCAATAAATTGATCAACGAGGCGGAAATGTGCGAGGTGCGTCGTGCGTGGGCTGAGAGACAGCATGAGACGGAAATGGAAAAGGCGCAGTATGAGCTCGGGGAAGTGCGGGTGGAGAATGCGACGCTGAAGCTGCGGATGGAGAAAGCTGAGGGGGAGAGGGATGAGGCGAGGAAGGCGGAGAAGTTGATGAGTGAAGGGTTTGAGGAGGTGGTGGAGAGGAGTAGAGCGCTGGAGGTGGCGAATGAATTGTTAGAGGAGAGGTTGATGAGATTTAAGAGGAGAGAGGCGGAGGCGGAGACGGCGGAATAGGAGGGTGTGTATGAGGAGGAGAATAGGGTGTTAAAAGAGGAGTTGAGGATTGCGAAGATGGCTGGGGCTCAAGAACCTGCTGAAGGGAAGTGACGCTGCGTCTGGGTATACTTTCTGGAGATCGGGTGGTAAGGTACGAAAACAAATCATGAAAACCGAACTTTCTTTAATTCTTCACTCATCACGTCTCTGCTTCCATAACTCATTGATTCATCTCGACTTTTTCATACGTTATAAACATCTCTTTCGAAGCATACACACACACCCACATCAAGAACCAGAGACATTATCATGAAATTTCAATCTTTGGTCATATATTCATTTTATTTGAACTTTCTTTCCCACTTCATTCACTACAGTACTACATACATACAAAATGAACCAACCCCTTGCTTTCTCCACGAACATCTATAACCCCAAGCCCAATTCATCGTCCCTCTCTCACCTAGCAACAAGTATGCATGTAATTTCCGCATCAACAGCATACACCCACACCACGCCCATCCCATCTCCCAATCCCACCCATAAAATCCAACCCAATTCCCATCCACCCCGAAGTGATATGGCCAAGCCCCATACCCCCCAATCAATATAAACAAACACAAACACCATGCTACCGAGTCAATACTTCCGAATCAATACAGCATCAATCCATTTCCGTTCATTCATGCCCTCCCATTCGTCCCGCCCTTTATGTCGATTGACATTCAAATCTTAAATCCAGCGCCCAAACCTAAAAACGCCATAGACTCAACCTAAAGAACCCCAACCTGGTTAAATCGTCAATCCTGGACCATCCATGGTATGACGTTGGTGCACCTAAAACAAAGGATATCGCTCAAAAACTCCATACAATGCAACCTTTCCCTTTCCACTTTTCAAATCCACTCGTTCGCTTCACCCACCCCCAATAATTACTTTCCATCACTTCTTGTCGTTTATAAAAAAGCATCGAATCGCACCGTACCGCACCATAAAGCATCCATTCAACGATGCTCGAATAACTTTTCCACCACGAGACAAAAAGTCATCGCATCGTTTTTCGTAGCTCCGTACGTAAATAACTCCTCTCATTGACCTCTCAGTCCGAGATTGATCCTGCATCCACAACCTCTGATACATCCACCGCATTACCTCCAGTCCTTCCTGGCTCCCAGCCTTCCATTTCATCCCTTCCATCTTCCTTGATCAAGTCCAATAGCACCATACTATTCTTCTTAATCCTCTCAGGTCTATCCACAATTCCTCTTTCCAGAATCAAGGCTTCAGCTGTTTTGGCCCACAATTCATGTAAATCAGGCACACCTTCCACCAGCAATCCCAGTACTTCTCGTCCCAATGGACGCATCGGTGGACCTTGTGAAAGACTTGTTCTCCATACCAAACTCTCATCCGATAGATTTCGCTTGGAAGCTGTACAAGTGGACTTGTCACAGAACCATTCGGAGCATCCCGAAGAATCGTGACCTGAAGTGTCAGGCGGAGAGTGAGCCATAGGTTGGGGTGCCTTCTTTCTTCCTAGATGAGTGAATTTTGACATCTTGGATTTCGGTGCAGCGGTGCTAGGTTCGACAATTGGGAAACGACAACTTTGTAGAGAACCATACCATTGGTCGACGGCGGCTCTCCTCGCATTGTAACCTTTTGTCTGCCAGAACTTTTCTGCCTGCTGGAGTCCGCCGATTGTGAGGATAGCCGAATAAACTTCGTCGGGTGGTCGATCCTTCAAATAACCTCTGATTGACCTTTCCACTCTTCCAACGTATGAAGGAGGCCTTAATCGACGAGAAAATGATGACATGAACAAAGGAAATACCTGATGAACATACAACAACGTTCTGTCGTCATACATGTTCATAGCAAAAGTCTCGAATGGATTAAGCGTGTAGGGCAATCGTGTTAGAGGCGCCCCGCGTCGTTCAAGATGTGAAGCATATACTTTTCGGTAAGTTTCGAAGAAATGAAAGATTGTAAAGATAAGTGGTATTAATCTTTGACGCATCCTTTCATATTGAGGTTGAAATTCCAACACTTGAGCTTCAGTCGTCCGTAAGAATATCTCCTTTCGAGCTTGTAGAGAGATCAAGGTAGATAATTTTGATGCAACATGCAATCGATGCCATATCCCAGCCAGATAGTGCAAGTTCAGTTTCGCAGCCTCTGGCAAAGGGAATAATCGTGTGGTGTAACCAGGTAGTGTATGGGTTGCATGATATCTCGCGATTGGTGCTTCATTCATGGTAACCAAAGCATGAAATGATCTCGAAACTTGTCGCAAGTCAAGAATGGTATGAATTGGCAAAGGTGAGATAATTTGAGCTTGTAATTCGGTTGGGAGAGTTAGGAGAAGGTCGGAGAGAGAAGCACTATGTAGGTCAGCAATTGATCCGAATGTTCACAAGAGAACCTGGTTTCTTGAAGTTTCTTTACCTCTGCCTTTCAATTCTTTCTTGGATGATGTCTGGGTGTGCCTCGACAATTGATGGAGCTCGATGGGTAATGTTCACTTTGGATCTTAGAGCACCCAATGAACCACTAAAACTTGGTCGACGTTGTGTTCGTAGAGACGTGAGGTCATGTCCGAGAGAACGTTTTCTTTGATCGCCAAGTCGGAAGGCCAAGTTCTCATGGTTGACATTTTTCTGCCTCGAAGGTAAATTGAATGTAGCTGCTTCTAATGGCGATGGTTCATGATTAATGAGAGGGATCGACGAAGAACCAATCTGTGAATTTTGGATTGTTCCAGTTGCAGACCCAGCAGCCATAGATCCAGACCCGGACCCTGATCCATTCTCAGCATGCCCATGTCCATTCCTATCATTCTGTCGTACTTTTTCGAAATATCGCTCTGAAGCGAATTCCGTAAGATGAAGGGGTTCCATTTCTTCCCCTACGCTTGGTCTTTGGTACCAATAGGTCGTAGAGTTGAAGTTCTTCGTGAGGGTTAAATCATATCAAGATTTATGGACGACGCTCTTCGAGAGGGAGGGCCGCCCAAGTTGCGCCGAGTGGGAATAAAGTTGAGGAAACGACGTCGCACGATTGAACTTCATGCATTATTGAAAACACCCGTTGAAGTATTTTATGAAGCCAACAATATCAATTCGAGTTATTGAGGAAACCTTGGAAGGTCGTGAAATTTTGAATAGGAATCGAGAAGTTTTGGTAAGATCGGTGGTGGTTGTTGTTGAAGAAGGGAGAAGATAGTTTGAAAGTCGAAAGTCGAAAGTCGAAAGTCGAAGGTTGAAGGGTCGGAGGGTCGAAGGGTCAAACAATAAGGGATTATTGGGGTTGAGATCGGAGTCAAATTGAAGGGAGTACCGAGATAGATAACAAGTCTTGTACCCAGGTATCCTATCTGCCTACCTATATAGATTATGGTATAATTGAGATGGATGTTCAAAGTCCAGACCGATATGGATATTCTAACCAGAATGAAATTGATCCGAATTAAGAAATATCTCTTCTTCTTCTTTGTCTATTTGAGGGCCGTTTTCTTCTTCAGATTGGAATTGATCTGATTATTATTGCAGAGGTGACCTTTTCGAGTGTAACTTTGAAATGGTGTATATCAAGAGAAGGAAGTACAATATCTGTGTTATTCCACCCACAAGTTCTAGTAGGTGACTTGTGACTTCTGATACTGGTTTAATGTTGCAAGGTGTTGAATGGGTAAGATGAATGCTCTATCAATCCTGGTCCTCTCTTCTTTTGGTGTGTGGTTTCTGATTTTTTCCGTTGTCGAGTGTTGTTGGATTCAAGTAGCCATGTACTCAAAGGTAGATGGATGTCCGACAAAGGGATACAGATACAGAGAGACAAATAGGAAGTAAGATGAGAAGGTGGAAGGAAGTGCGAAAAGGGGAAAGGATGAACAACGAACGACCAACGAACGAAAGAAAATCTGGACCTTTCTCTTTCTCTCTCTCTCTCTCTCTCTCTCTCTCTCTCTCTCTCTCCAAAAGACCAAGTGTGGAAAGTGTGGCGGCTGAGATGGATTGATGAGATACTCGTAGATGGGTGAGATAAGTTTCTCGTCTCTTCCCAGAAAGAAAGGGACTAAAAGGAATTCGGTATATCGGGGGAACTAATGAAAGGGAATAGATGGGGATTATGGGACTGTGGGATCTGAAGGGATAGACACGTTTTCCCCTTGACGTTTTCTGATTATCTGATTTTCTGAATTTCTTATTTTCGTATTTTCTTTAGGTACAAGACTACAAGTAGTGTTTGGGTCGTACTCATGTATGGACTCTGGAGTAACTTGGTAAACGCAGCTAAATAGTAATACCGATATGGTAGATTGAAAAATGCTACCTAATTAAAATAATGAAGCCGAGGGTAGGAGGAGGAGGAGGAGGAGGAGGAAGAAGAAGTTTTGGATATCTTTCTTATATATTTTTATGTATATAAATATATAATGTATATAATATAAATTCAACTACGAGTATCAAGAGGTTGGCTGTAAGTTGAAGTAAAGATTGAGTCAAGGCTGAGTGAAGATTGAGTTCTTGATCAAAGTAAAGTTTCTCTCTCTCTCTCTCTTCTCTATGAGTTTAATTCTCTGTTCAATGATTCTATTCGTTTTCTTTCCTCTCTTCTCCCATCTCCATCTCTCCTCTTATTCTTTCTCTACTCTACACTCATACAGTCATACACTCACTCCTCATACTACCTACATACATACATACTACATACATACATACAATATCCCATCCATCTCTTTTTCTTCCCTATCGGCCCAATTATTCAAACCCTCCCCCCAATTAATTCCCAATTCCGATCCCAATCTATACCCGCTTTGAGTTTAGCATCAAAGGAACGTTCGGTCGGCGTCTTTATGGAGACTCCACACTCCACTGATTGGAAATGTGGAACATCAGGACCCAGGCACTTTGAAATCCGGATAAAGTAAGACGAGAGATGTAGGTAGGTCCTGGGCAATATGACTGATGAATTGACGAGAATTAAGGAAAACATGACTGATGACATTTGATGCCATGGGAATGAGAGTGGGGAGATGATGATGATGATGATGATGATGATGGTGATGAAGAGGAAGAGGAAGAGATTTTGATAATGGGATATGTACTCAGGTCGAGTAGAATACTAGAATTGAAGATACAGCACAAGAACTAATCCTGTCTGTTGCGCTTGGAAGTTGTGCACTCGTGATTGAATCGTGGTTGATGATCATAGGAGAATGCTTACGATATGGCATGGCATCAAGTAGATCTGGATCACGATTCACGATATACTTACGGAGTACTAGCTACCTAGTATCGTAGATAACCACAAATGATATACAGATGCAAGACGACAATCTCAACAAATAGTACTTCTTAGAGATAGGGATGTGGTATGTACAGATGTACAGATTTGACACCTAGTAGGTAATAGGAATCAACTCAGCAATTCTTCATTCAAAAGATCTCATGTACTGGTAGATAGATAACATCTCTCCTCTTCTCTTTTCTTCTCTATCCTATCACCTATCCTATCCTTCACACGAAACAACACCACCCAAAAAAAGACCCTTTTTACTGGGCAAGCTCGAGGCAAGGGTTTCCTTATCCTATCCGTCCATCAGTGCCACCCACGGCTGTACCGAAAATAGCACTTTTCGAATTCTTCCGTGATTATCCCCGAATCCAATAAGATCATCCGTATTCTTACTTAATATTGCCCCAGATACTGACCATCCATTTGGAGAAGGAAAAAAAAGATGGAAAAAGGATATTTGACCGAGAAAGATGATGAGATCTTATGAAGTTATGAGTAGGAGTTAATGAGCCAAGGCGTATTGAATACGATGGGGGTGGGTGGATGGATGGATGGATGGTCAGCTTGGAGGTAGATGTGTACAGAAAGAACATGATACGAAATCAATTCATGGCCACTTGAAAAGTTGAATCGGACTATCCTATGTAGGTAGGTACTGGATGATTCAATTCATTCCCGTTTATCAATGTTGTACCGTCGGTCTCAACACTGGATTTTCGTACATCGATCTAACCATCACATATGTCGGTACTTGAAAAAGGCTCATTCAGATGTTACCTATTGTTAACGTACTTGATATCCCTTGTTCTTCATCCAACCAACTTCTGCAGTGTTTTGATTAACAACCCGTTCCCACCCATCCATCCATCATCCATCATCCATCCACCTACTCCTCGCCTTTCAATGCTTTCCCCAAGCCCCAAGCTATCGGCAAACTTTACGACTAACTACTGTACTGCACTGTACTGCACTGCACCACTGCACCACTGCACCCAAGTGACCTAACGCCGTCCATGACAAATCTAGACCCTCCCACCCAGTTCTCCTCCCAAATTCCCATCAGGACTCAGGACTTTACATTACCTCAAGTAACGCCGCTCCATAGCCGCACCAATGCTCCATATCCAAACGTCCTTCGAATGGTGGAGAAAAAGACAGAGGGACATCATTATGGAGAACCCAAACCCACTCTTTCCCACACACATGACATTCTTAAAATTTTCTACGCAAAAACGGGATCTGGGGCAAAAAAGGGTGGATTTTCCCCATTGCCCCATAGTGATGTGAAGCCGAGGATGTTTTCTTCGAATCTTGGATGGATGGCTCATGGATGCCATCATGGCTAGGTATGTAATCTCTTACCTCGAACTAAATTCTAGTCCATGTTACATGTCACTATATGACCGAGAAGCTCTGATGAGTGATGAGTGATGAGTGAGCATCGTGAGCTAACCAGGTATCTCGTTGCAGAAAAATCAAGGTAGAAGGTTTTCCGAGCGGAAGATCTTGGGAGAAAGAGTGCAGAGATACAAGGTCTGCAGTACGTATGCTTGCGTGTTTTGCTGATCGAACCTGGATGAAACTCAATGATGCATCGTATAGTTCATTCATGCGATATGCCGTGGAGGGAAGGGAAGGGAACGATAGAGAGCGAGATATATACACAATCATCAGCTATCGCCATTTGCGGATAGCTGCACGAACATATACTATAATTGTAACATTCATTAGATGAATTATGTATGATATGATCAAATGTATCCATATTAGACAAGTATATCTGGACAGATACTATGTACTATGTATGTAAACCAATCCTTCTCAAGAATAACCCAAAAGAGGATATCTCCCCCCAATCCAACCTCTCTAACTCACACCATCAACTTCATCCAACATACTATTGGAGTAAATCCCCATCCCAATTCCAATCAACCTCAATCTCCCTCGGCATTTCATTTCCATTTCATCTTTTAGTCGTCCGCGTCTAACTCCTATGAGAAAGACTTCCAAACCAAAAAAAAAACAAAAAAATGTAACAACAAATCACACAATTGGATCCAAAAAGAAAACTCATTCGGCCCTATTCTCAAACCTTCATCCGGAAAGCAAAAAAACGCAACTGAGCGGCTGATTTCCCTTTTTCTTTTTCTTTTTTATCCTTTTCCCTGAAAATAAAAATAAATCCTTTAGCTAAGATCTTTTAAGGTACATAGGTAAGGAAAGATAAAGGAAGATCTTTATTAATGTGGGAGTGGGAGGTTTTTTTTTATTTATGGATGAGGTTTCTGATTACTGGTGGAAGTTTTGAAATGAAATGAAACGAAACGAAACGAAAAGAGACGCGACTTGGTGTCTTTTCGGGGAGGCAAGATATCAGGGAAAAGAACTTTGGAGATTCGATTCAACTCACTCAGCTAGAATTTTACAATACCTAGGTAGGTCGGGTAGGTGTGATGTGATAAATGCTTCGAATCAAAATCGGCCCCATTTCCATGTAGAGATAAGTAGGCATATTGCCAATGCTTTATCGTAGGGGGAATTCGATTGTAATTTGTCAGCAATTGATGAATTCCATACCCTACCTCGCCTACCTACCCGACGTACGAATGCGAGTTTGATTGAAACAGTCCTACCGACACTCGAGCTACTGTAGGTACTCTACTATAGTCTATGAGATGTACGTACGTTATAACTCATCGTACACGTATTTTGATAGCCGTACACGCTGCTTGATGAATGGAAATTCTTTCTTTCTTTCTTTCTTTCCTGGCTTCAGTCAGGACGGGTAAGATGTTACGTTTTTGGATCCTGTGGCTTGCGAGGCTGTGTTAAGGTTGGTTGCTCGTTTGATAGATGGCCCTTCGAGATTATATAATATATCTACCTATTGTGCAGATGACGCTCCGCTGGTTCCTCGGTGGCAGGCTGTTCACAAAAATTGAAAGAGTAATTGATATAAACCCTACTTTCATTAAAATCTTGTTGTTTTTAGAGATTTTCTTATGGAACCAATATACAATTCAAACGAAATGACGCTCCGCTGGCCCTCCGGGAGCCACTGCCGTGGAGGCAGACTATTTGGGTGAGTGAATACATTGTATAGAACAACCTTTCGAGCGCAGCGAGCTATGGGGGTTTGGGGGCCTGCCCCCATGAATACCCCATGAATACTCCTCAGGCAAAATATGAGAGCAGAGTGAATTTATTATTTACTAGGTGTGAGCTTAGATTATATCCTCAAGGCAGACCGCCTAAAATCAGAGGTGAAATGTTGACAAATGGCTATACACACTCATTAATAATTTAAAAGCATTCCTAAATATACATACACGTGAAATTATGGAGACCTATCAAACAAATCGTGGGGTTGAAGCTTAATGTGATGATGCATCACGATTCACAAGCTTTTATCCATCTTGTAATATAACATCCGCATCCACATCAACAACCACGTTCCTTACACTAAGTCTTAAACTTTCGACGTCTAGCCTACCCATGCATCGAAATACATAACCAAATCAAATACATTAAATCAAAGTTGCACATAATATACAATTCAATCTTCTAAATATCTGGCATTTTGAAGACCAATCCTCAATAATGTCTTCCTCGCCATCTCCATATCCTTCTTCAAGCTACACCCCTCATCGAAACTCTCAATCCTACTCTGGTATAGATCCGAATGCACCACCACCACCGCCGCCTAAACCAAATTCCCGAGATGTGAGTCGTCAAGGCACACCTGCGGGAACTGGAAATCAATCATTTCCTAGACCTGGAGAACCATCGGTGCAATACGAAGGAAGACAAGAAAATGTTCCACGAGAACAACCACAACAAATACAAGATCCGGGAGATCAATGGCTCCCGAACATATTGATGGATAAATCGTAAGTATTACCTTGCCATATGCAGATGAACATTTTCTTCTGCAGGTGTTTCTTATCCTACCTATCATGATTCTCATAAATGTCTCTATTAATCTCATGTATCCTCCCTTTGGCGTACAACAGGACGATTAAGAGGTTGGCAAAAGGAGGACAGCAACATCGCATTATTTAGTGAACACTGTTAACATAACCCAGGAAACAAGACCTCGCATCCGCACTATCCAACCCTGCCCTTCTAGCCGCCCTCACACATTCAACATCTACCGCACACCCATCCATTTCCACATCACAAGAACCATTAAAATCTGCATTAGATGATAATATCGCGCTAGCGACCCATCTATTGGAACTTGAGTCTCGACTTGATCACCTGCGCTCCTCAACACAAGCTCAATTATTATCTACACATGCATTGGAACGTCAATGGAAACAAAAACAATCCGAGATGGATAGAACTTTAGCTCCCTTCTCACCGAGCTCATTATATCAAAGATTAGGACAAGGTGTTCAGGAACAAGAAATGATATGTAGAGCAATGGAAGAAAGCTTTCTGGAGGGTGATGGAGTTGCTACGGAAAGGGAAGCTAGTGATTGGGTTAGAAAGTATAGGGAATCGAAGAAAGTTTATTATTCCAGGAGGGAAAGGAAAGAGAGGTGGGATGAAGGAAGAGTTGGGGGTTGGAGATGATCCGGAGGTTCTCAATATATCATTTACTTGAAGCCTTGAGCGACGAACATTTACTTGCAACTTGCGACGAAACGGCCATCTGGATATACAACACGACCATATCAGTCAGGGATTTTTGAGGTACTATATTGCAGGCTACAGACTGTCAGTAGTAAAATGATTCAAACATACAGTACGGCGTCGGTGATAAAAGGCATGGAGACGTCGGGTGTGGTATAAGAGGCTGAAGATGAAAGGACAGTATATTTCCCGACAAGAGACTACGGATGTCAGAACAGGGAACACGAGACGATAAATAAATACCGGCATACCAGAACGTCATGGTTTGGTAACGTTTATGTACATATTCTCGGTTGGCTTCCACGAATTTTTACAGGTGACGAGTTATGAAACATTGTTTGTGCCACTTCTCGAATGAAGGCGATTGAGAAAAGTATAATATATCGATACATTGTGCACAGGATAGAAATCGTGGGGCCGTGGGGATTTAAAGATGGACATGGAGAATTGGAGGGGAATGGGGAAATGGACTTACCCGGTCCTGGATGAAAGACATTAATCAATCGAATAACGCCATATCGGCAATTATTCACACTTCCCCGGCTTCTTAAAGAACCAAGATTTATTACCTCTAGTTTTGTACGACTGATTGGAGAGCTTGAATAGAGCCAAGGAAATTCGCATGTTGGTAAAGGTCCGAATAGATGGGGTAGTTGACCAATTAAAGACAAGAAATGCAACTACCGGGAGAGGAGAAAGATTGGTGAGATGGTATCTTGTGTTACATGTTTGGGATAAAGATGGATGCGGCGAAACTCAATCTCTCTTCAAGGTAGTTTGTGGTCTGATTTGTGGTATGAAAAGTCGCAAAGACGCAGTACGAGGGTAGATTATGCAGTGTAAAGGTGTGAATCGGACGGGTATTTCCGTTCACACTAGAGATTTTGCCTGAATTCTTAGTGGGTGGTCGGTGTCTTCTTCAAGATTTACCAGAGTGGTTTATTTTATGGTGTTACGTCTTTTTGGGGGGAGGGGGGAGGGGTTTTCTCATGCAGTTGGGCTTGGTTTGGCTGGGTTGGGGAAGCACAACAGTAGATGGATTAGATTACTTCTTGGGAGATCCCGAGGTATGGTAACGTTCACTATAGCTTGGTATCGTTAGCTAGGTAGCTATAGGTAATGTAAGCATGCGATTAATAGATGTTTTGATGATTGGGAAATTGGACTTTGATGAGTTGAGTGACTTGACTTGACTTGAGTTGACTTGACTTAGTGGGATGGTGTGTTGTGCTTTGTTTTGCTGTGGTGCGGTGTGATGTGGTGTGGTGTGTTGTGCTTTGTTTTGCTGTGGTGTGTTGTGATGTGTTGTGTTGTGCTGTATGGTAGGTTAGATGGATGGATAGATAGATGAATAGGTAGATGGACAGATAGATGAATGGATGAGTAGATAGATGAATACGAGATTGGAGCGGTCGGTCGGTCGGTCGGTCGGTCATTTGTCAGGTGCCGGACCGGACTGCACCGGATGAGATGGGATGGGAGGGGATGATTTGGATCGATCGATTGATCGATTGATTGATTGATTGATTGATCACGGTGTGTTGTTGATACGAGGTGGTGGGTTTGTGGTTGTGGTTGTTGTGGTTGGTTTTTTTACAGGAGAGGTATGTTTTTGTTTTTGTTTTTGTCTTTGTTTTTGTCTTTGTTTTTGTTTTTGAGAAGGGGGGATATGGGAATATGGGGGTATAGGAGGGGGATATAGGAGGGGGGTATGAGAATATGGGGAGTAGAGGAGATGAGCAGAGGAGATGAGAGGTGATGGGGTTGATGGGGTGTTTATATGTTTATATGTTTATATGTTTATATGTTTATATGTTTATATATATTCATGTACCCATCCATATATAAATAATCGAAACCACGGAAGTAAAATAAATAGATGGTTTGCGAGTGTGTCGTTTATTGATTTGGTTTGGTTCGGTTCATGGATTTATATATATAGGTATATGTCACGAGGGGGTGGGGAGGAAGGGGTAGGGGGGACTTTTCTCTCTCTCTCTTGGGTTTCTGGTCTGGATTCGAATTTGGATTTGGATCTGTTTCTGGTTCTGGTTCTGGTTCTGGTTGGTTCTACTTGGAGAGGTGAGATGAGATAAGGTGAGGCGAGATGTCTGTTGGAACTGGAGAGTGGAGATTAGAAGTGTGGTTTGTGGTGTAGTTGCTAGAGTTGCTGTTTGGTATTTGGTATTTGGTAGTGAAGGTATTGATATTTTTGTGCATTTATTGATGTAATGAGTTTTGAATTGAATTGAATTGAAATATATGTTTGGATGGGTATCTACCTAGGCATGGATTAAATAAATCTATTGATATCTGTGTTTGTGTTTGTGTTTGTATTGTACTGTATTGTATTATATAGGTATTGTGTTGGTGAAATGGGATGGGGAAGGGAGATAAAAGATAAGACGGAAGGGAGAAGGAGGGAGAGGGAAGTAAGAGGGGAAAAGAGGAAGGAGGAAAAGGAGGAACAGGAGGAAAAGGAGGAAAAGGAGGAATACACTTTGTATTTTCTATCATCTAGGTGTGTAAAGATTAGAGAATGAAAAAATATGAGCTTTGGATGGAAGATTGAGCGAATGCATGGATAGTCTGTGATGTGATGCGGTATGTATAAATAATATATTTTGCGATGTTATCTTGCTGCTTGTCGGTGATGAGATGAGATGATGAGTTTTTTATTTTGACTTATTGGATATGATCTTCCATTTATCATTTGACTCGGAATTCTTTGGTTCGTTCCCTGGCGTTGAATTCATCATCTTTCCTCTTGCATCGCTTTGCAAAATTGAGGTCTAAGTGTCCAGTTTCTAGCACCTTTTGGGAGTTCTCCCATTTCACTTCCTTGCTAATTTTCATTTTTTCCATTTGTCTTACACTATGGTTGTATTTACTCTTTGCTCACTTATTTGGAAATTGCACTATCTAATTCTCTCCTTAGTGCAGATCTGAAAGTATGGAGCATGGAGTTGTGTGTTGTGTGTGAATCTCATCTGTCTGTCACATCACTTCTCTATCCATCTACTCCTCTGCGCTATGAGATTGAGAGAATTAGAGAGCAGAATTTTGATGGCTTGGATGAGGATTGAGGAATGAGGAGATAGGGATGTAGGTAGAAATTGAGTGTGAAGAGGATATGAAGGAGTATAATGGAAGTAGGATTTGAGAGGTGGTGGTAATGTTTGGGGCTGTGATGGAAAGAGTTAAAGATAAGTGGAATGGATGGATAGATAGATGGATGGATGAGATAAAAATTGGTGTAATGTGTGGGAGGGCGATTGAGAAAGGAGGAAGGAGTCAGTAAGTGGTGAGTCATGAGTGGGAGTCCTCATGCTCTTCTCACATGCGAGATGTGAGTCAAAATGGCCGATGACAAAGTCTTACAGGTATTAGAGATAGAGTGTAGAGGGGTAGTATCAGGAAAGTTAATGGCAGGTCTGAAACAAAAGATGGGATCTCAGCAGCGGGTGAAATTTCGAATTATTAGGTGGGTGCAGCTACGATATATCTGATTTTACCTCAATTTCTATCTAGACATTTGGGACATTCATGCGAGGAGAGAGTTTGTATTTAGCTCAGAATTGAGAGCGGAGTTTTAAAAACTATGAGTGATGAGCAATGCTCATTTTTTATATACTTGTTGAGTTGATTTCTCATTTTCAATGGCATGAAATAAATGAGAGGGGCTAGCTGGAGGGGACATCGGAGGAAAGCCAGAGGGCTGCGCAAAGAAAATAAGCGGCATAGAATTACTACACGACTTGAAGGAATTTTAGGATAAAGTAACTGATTGATACGACAAGTGAAGAAAAAACCAGAAGTGATAGGTCAAAAGGAGAAGGATGCTAAGGATACGAGAGACAAAAATATTTTAAGGGGGAAATGATAATAAGCGAAAATATTTTATTGAAAGGATGAGAAATTGAAAAGATTGTTCCTCTCTCAGCCGGAGTTTTATGACTATAGGATTTATAGAGAAATATGCATACAACTCTAGAATTTCTCGAACCATATCCATCATTTCTTTAACGGTATTGCATTGATATTTAATATCTCATCTCCCATGCTCAGACTTATATATTGGCTTCTCTTAATTCCTTTGCCTTGCTTGGAATGCCTTCTTTTATCACTTCACTCATGTAGTAACTCATAATTCAATTGCTCAAACTGAATCAGGGTTTTCATCCAACCCAAAGATTCAGCCATTGAACTTTTCCGAGCCCAGTTCTCCAGATCCAGAATTCTAAAAACAAGAGATAATCCGCTGACTGCCTATCGACAATTTAACCAAAAGATGATACCACACATCAATCACAACATCTCTCACCCCTTTCATCCCTTTCTTCCTTCTTCACCCTCTCCCTCCTCTTTTCTCCATATACACCACAAAAATTTTTCTCCTCCAAACCCCAAACCCCAAGCCAAAAATAGTAGAAGCCGGATCAAGGATTCGGACCTTGGATCTCATCATTTTGGTATTCATCGATACGTTATTTTTCATTCATTAACTCATTATCCATATTTATATTTTTTTGGAAACGGTTATACTTACAGTGATGCGTGTTAACCACTACGCTAAACGGGCGGTTTGTTTTTATAGACAAGGGTGAATTTTTCGGTATCTATTTGAGAGAGGAGACTTGAGATAGGTGAATAAAGGAGTGAAGATTGGTTGTTGGAGAATGGGAAAGTGAATGAAGAGGGAGAGTGTTGAGTTGGGATTTTAGTGGGTTACTTGGGAGTATGTCATTCTTTCTCCATCGGCAGAATCTGGCGTTGTGCGGGTGATAGTTCATGTAGCTTCTGATTCTTCCGTCTTTAAGCTATCTGTTTACCGAACAAAAGCCCGTCTTACTTAGATACCTCTTTGTTGTGCCCTCAACTAGATCGTATCAATTGTCTGTTCTGAAGCGGAGCTTATGGAGAGAGAAGTGAAATGAAGC